CAGCTCCTGAAGCCGGTGAAGCGCATCCAGGAGGAGGAGGAGGAGGGTATCTCGTCCATGGTACGGAGACAGAGCGCCTGCGACCCACCCTGACCCTGACCAGAGACTGCAAAGAGCTGCTTCTCCCACCCTTGCTGAGCCACCTTGGGTTTTGTTGTTTAAGAATCTGATGGGCTTTGGTATTCCCCAGGGGGACTAAAGGAAGAAAAACTTACCGGTGCCCTTGTAGCCCAAACCGCAAGCTCAAAGGCACGTGCACTTTTTAGAACCAGGCTGCGGAGAGCTGGGTTTGTGGGGCCCCCCAAGGAAGGCTCAGCCATGGGGTGATGTCCAGCTCACCTTGGGAACGAGCTGGTGGCCCTGCTGGGGTCCTCCTGGTACCCACTTTCTCCCCTTCCCTTCAGAAAAAGGCAGGGTTAAGTCCTTTGCTGTCATGTCTTGCCAATGTACCTTAGATCCTGAACGAGATTCAGCTGTAATATGATTTCCCTGGGGTTTTATGGGCATTGATTTGTAATTTGTGGATTAACAGCATTTGGATGTAATTATTGCAGGGAATTGAATGTCTGTCACCTCAGGGAAGGCTTGTGCCCCTTTAGGAAGCTTTAATTCATTTGCTTTTCCCTGAAACCTCATCAGCTTCAGTAGATTTCGAGGACCGCTGTTGTCAGTGCAGAGTCAGACCTGGCTCCCCCAGCTGAGGCCACTCTCATCCTCTCTCCCTCTCCCACATCCCAGCTCAGCCTGAACAACAAGCAGCTGACGCAGATGCTGAAGTCGACAGCCCCGGTCCAGGAAGAAGAGGAGGACCCGCTGGCCTATTACGAGAAACACACCTCCCAGATTGAGGCAAGACCTGTGAGCTGTTGGGTTGTCAGTGCGCATGTGGCCGGTGAATCCTGCCGTGTGCCCCATTATTTTGCAGCTGGAGCCTTCCCATCCCTGTGCTGGCAAAAAGTAGACAGGCCCTTGACTCTGCGGAGAGCTGGAGGCATTAGCAGAGCCCATGGGGAGCTGGGGGAATGAGCTGCCCCCCCTAGACCCTTCCTTTTTCTCCCCACAGCAGCAGGGATGCACCTGCTTCAGCAGCCCCGTCCTTGTGCATCTCCTTGCAGATGGGCCAGCAAGGGTTCACGGGCTCTCAGCTTTACTCCAGAATGGCCAGGGCTGCTGTTGCGGGGTCGGTTTGTGACCAGGATGTCTTTGCATGCAGGTGGAGTGAGAGGGAGGAGGGGAAGGCACAGCTGGGTCTAGGAAAGAGGGATCCAAAGCTGGCAGGGGCAGGATCTGATGACAGCCTGCCCCTCGCCCCGTTCCCTGCAGATTGTGCGCCTGGACCGGAGCATGGAGCAGATAATCTTCCCGGTGCCTGGCATCTGCGAGTTCCTCACCAAGGAAACCAAATACCGGCTCTTCACCACCACGGAGCAGGACGAGCAGGGCAGCAAAGTCAGTGATTTCTTCGACCAGTCGTCCTTCCTTCACAACGAGATGGAATGGCAGAAGAAACTACGCAGTAAGAGCAAACCAGACCTTCCCTTTGGGCTCCCCCTGGCCAGGACGGGCACTTCGAACAGCCCCTCTTGTGAAACTGGGAGGCAGCCCTGCTTTGAAAGGGCTCTGAACCCTGGCAGTAGCCTGGAAATCACATCTCTGGGCTTCTCGTGCCCCTGGTTCTCTAGGACTAGCACACCACAGTTCGCAGGGAGCGAAGGTTAATCGAGATCCCAGGGATGTGTTTCCTCCCTGCCTGTTAGTGCAGCTCCTTGGTAGCCTGAAACACATCTTACAGCACATTCCCTGGGATTACACCTGCAGCTGTTTTCTCCTGAAAAGTGCTTTCTTCATTTGTTCCCAGTTCCCTTCTCCTAAGCTAGGATCCAGCAGCTAACTATGGGAAATAAAACTTGTTTCTCTGCACCCTGCAGACCTGCTCAGGTGCTTTCAGGGCTGGATCAGGACAGAAACCCTGACTTAAAATGACAGGGGCTCGATAAAAAGTCACACAATAAATACTGTGATGCAGCTAGGAGTAGCGTCTCAACTCTGAAAATACTTGCAGATCCGGTCAAAACTATGTTAGGAATTCGGCAGGAAACAAATTTCCAGTATGGATGGGAAATTGCTGGCTGGGTCTCCTCTGGGAGAAAACACGAAGACGAGGTTGTTTGGAAGGATGTTGGCAGCGAGGCTGTGTGAGGTGGGAGATGGTTGTGTAGGGTCGATAGTTGGACTTGATGATCCCAAGGGTCTTTTCCAACCTGAATTGTTCTGTGATTCTGTGGGGAGGAGGGCAAGGAGGAGAACGGTTCCAAGGTGCCAGAGCAAGTCAAAGGGCTGAGAAGGCAAGAAAAGTGAGCGCTAACATTTTGAACTTGCCCTCTTATTTCAGCAGATGAGGAGGGAGCTTTTGATTAATGTTTTGAAGGATGTGGGAGGTGAAGGTCCCTCCGGGCCCACCAACTGCGCTGAGCCGAGCCCTTCAGATGCCTGGGAGGGCAAAGCCTTCCCCGGTTGGTGCAAGGTTGGCTGAGGTTTGTGTGTCTGCCTCCTCTCCCTGCAGGCATGCCGCTGATGTACTGGTTCTCCCGCAGAATGACGCTCTGGGGAAGCATTTCCTTCAACCTGGCTGTCTTCATCAACATAATCATTGCTTTCTTCTACCCCTATGTTGAAGCCACTTCCATGGGTAAGTGCACCAGCATCTGCTGCTCCTCGACGTGGAAGAAAAAGGGGACTTTCATACGCAGGAAAAACAGTCCTTTTACCTATATCAGCCCCCACCTCACTCCCCTTTTGCCTTCTAAATTCCAGAATACTTTCTGCTGCTCAAGACTGAGTCAAGATTTCAGTTGCCAGCCCTCCCACTGCTCCCTTAGGGAAAAGTCTCTTCTCCCCGGACTGCACTTTCCCTCTTTGTAACACGGGGGATGCAGTGACAGAGTGTGTATCTCTGTCATTTACAGCGGTTTTGAGACCTCAGATAAAAGATATTAGGAAAATGTATCAGCAACAACATCTTAGTCAATACTACGTCTTTACAGCCAAGCATAATTTCTCTCTTTCTTCCCTCTGACAATGAGTTTTTCTGGACAGCGGCACAGAGTCCAATTAACGGCGTGCGTTTCCCTCCTGCTGCTTAATTTCTGCGGGTCTCCTCTTCGCAGGAGTGCTGGATTCCCCACTGATCTCACTGCTCTTCTGGATTCTGATCTGCTTCTCCATCATGGCCTTGTTCACCAAGCGCTACGGCGTCAGACCGCTGCTCGTGGCGCTGATCTTGCGCTCGATTTACTACTTGGGGATTGGACTCACCCTGAACATACTGGGAGCTCTCAATGTAAGTTCTTCACGCGCTGGGACAACAGCGTAGCAGAGGCTGTTCTGCACTCCTGAAGTGCCCCCGTTTCTGGTTGTTCCCCAGCTGACCAACAAGATCGTGTTTGTGGTGAGCTTCGTGGGCAACCGTGGGACCTTCATCCGAGGCTACAAGGCCATGATCATGGATGTGGAATTTCTTTACCACGTTGGCTACATCCTGACGAGCGTCCTGGGACTCTTCGTGCACGAGCTCTTCTACAGCATCCTGGTACACAAAATGCTGGTGTTGGGGGCTCGGAGGTAGCCTGCCTGCCCCGTGAGAAGCTAGAAAGTGACACCTTCCAGGGGCTGACTGGTAGCAGCAGCGAGAACAATTCGCTGTGCTCTAATCTTTGCGTAGGCTGATCTTTCTGCCTTCCGACAGTATCTATTACTGTCTGTCTCCCGGTCTTTTGCTATCTCTCTCTTTCTAATCTCTGCTCTGTGCTTTATGTGGGTCAGCTGGGAGACAACGTGAGCTGGTGAGGGCAGAGGCAGGGTGCATGCGTCCTATTCTTGGCTCTCCTGCTGTGCGTAAGTCACTTCATTCTTCTCTGCTTCCCTACAGAAAGCTGGGAAACTTAAATGCTTTATGTGAAAGTTAGTCAAGGTCCGCTGAGTGAGCCAAGATCTCAGGATAAAAAGGGATATAGGCAGGCCAGGCATTGTCAAGAGAAGCACCCCGCAGCATTTCTTTGCTCCTGGGTCCTTTCAGCTGTTTGACTTGATCTACCGCGAGGAGACCTTGTTTAATGTCATCAAAAGCGTGACGCGGAACGGGCGCTCCATCCTGCTCACAGCCCTCCTGGCTCTCATCCTCGTCTACCTCTTCTCCATCGTGGGCTTCCTTTTCCTGAAGGATGACTTCATCCTGGAGGTGGACCGGCTGCCAGACAGCAAAGCCAAAGGTTGTTGAGCCCTCGCCCCCGCTGGCTCTGTGCTTGGGCTGGAGAGGGGCTGGGGAGGACATGGATCCCCTTCTGCAGCCAGAGCGTTGCAGGAGACCCTGCTCCAAAAATATGTGTCTCCCTGGGGTGGGGGCGTGTGTGCTCATGGTGGGGTTGACACCCTTGGCACAAACTCCCTGTAGCACTGGTTTTGGGGTTTGCTGCCTGTGCCGACTTAGGGACCTCGTGCTGCAAGGAGCAGGATTTCGGGGCGAGGAGGGATGGCAAAGAAGGGGCTGGGCAGCTATAAATGAACTTTTAGCACTTCAAATGTCTTAGAGCTCTTACTTACCTTAGTTAGGGGTCTTACTGAAATTTGAGCACTAGATTCAAAGGCTAGAAAAGGTGAGGAGAATGTGAAGCAGCTTTTTTCTTTTTTTTTTTCTTCCCAAGAAGCTTGAAAGCTCCAAGAAGAGGCAGTTGAAAAGCAGTTGAAAAGCACCTTTGACAGCAGAGAAGAGCTTCACTAAGGCAAGCTGCTGCTCTGACAAGGCTGTGCTCTCTTTTACTTGCAGATGACCCCTTGGGGATGCAAAGGAATATGGAGACCTTCATGGAGTCATGCAGCGGTGACAAAATTAGCTGCTCTGCTGTGCCCACTGCTTTGGAAGGTAAGTGAGTTCATTAGAGAGGTCAGCTCTGTTGGCAGCAGAGGAAATCGGCTGCCTGTTTGTCAGGGAGCTCAGAAAAACCTGGCTTTTCAAAGATGGCAAGAACCAACCTGTTTTCTGGTGCATATTAAGCAAGACGCCTGCAAATTTTGCACTGGCCTTAGCATAAAACCCCCCAAGTTGAAGTAGATTCAATTTAAAGAAAGCAGGAGCTGCAGGAGCTCTCCGCCACGGCAAGAGGCAAGCTGGGAGAGCTGCTGGGGGGGTTGCAGGGTGGGAGATGCACAACGAGCACCTGCTCCCAGGAGATTGGCCACTGCATCACTGCAGCCCTGGGGTTTTGGGATGGTCTGGTACTTAAGCCCTGTCTGTGCTCTGGGTTTTTGCTTTTATTTGCCCCTCTGGTGGTCTAGAAACAGAGGCTGACCAGTGGGAACGCGCCTGTGACACGCTGCTCATGTGCATCGTCACCGTCCTGAACCACGGCCTGAGGAACGGTGGCGGCGTGGGCGACATCCTGCGGAAACCGTCGAAAGACGTGAGTTTGGGCAGCACCTGAGGACGCCTTTCTTCTGCTCAGTCCTGCTGCGTTTGCCGCCGTGCAGGTGTCCTCCCTCCCTGGGAACTGTGACACTTCCAGCTCTGTCCCTGACACTGTCCTCCCCTGCTTTCCTCTTCTCTCCCCCATCACACCCTTTATTCCTCCTCACCCCTACCCTCAGCCCATGCCTATATAACGAGGCACAGGGGGTGCATGATTAGACACGAGGTGGGCAAAAGACACACATTTATCCCTTTCATCCATTACAGGAGTCCTTGTTTCCTGCTCGAGTTGTCTACGACCTCCTCTTCTTCTTTATTGTCATTATTATTGTCCTTAACCTCATCTTTGGGGTCATTATTGACACCTTTGCTGATCTGAGGAGCGAGAAGCAGAAGAAGGAAGAGATACTGAAGACCACCTGCTTCATATGTGGTGAGCATCGGGATGTGGATCTTGCCCCAGAGCTCTTCCTCTCTTCTAGGGTTAAGGGAAGGAAAAAAGTTTCAGCTGGTTTCTAGTTTTCATTCGGGTCACGGCAAAACTTAAATCTGTTCACCGATGGGTGTGAGGAGGCTTAAACAAGGACTCAAAGTGAGAAGGGAAATTATCTGTGTTCTTCCTCCCCTTCTGTTAATGAGATATTAAGCTAAAATGCCACATTGTGGAGTTCTTGTTGCTGGGCATCCGTCACTCCCGAGAGCATCACTTAGCCAGCGGGGGGAGAGGAAAAAGCACCATATCACTGAGGAAGTAAAAATACAGAAAATGTTCTGGAATGCTTTCAGTCACCAGAAGGCATCAAAAAAGAAGGGGAAACCAAATAAGGCTAGATGCTTTTTTTTTCTTAAAATATCCACTGGGTGCATTTAATGCTTTTAGCTACATAGGCAGGAAGCATAGTTACTAGTATTTTAAATAGAAGCCTCCCAAATACACAACCGAGTTGTTTTCCCCCTGCTTTGGATGCTTGTTGTGTGCTAAATACCAACTAATTATTAAAAGCACTTCTTGAAAGTCACACCTGGGAGAGGATGCAATTATCTGTAATTCATTTCACATTTGTTGGCTTCTCACCTTCTCCTCCCCTCCCCATCTCCTCCCTTCACCTTCTCCCTTCTCGTCTGCCTTTCCCAGGACTTGAAAGGGACAAGTTTGACAACAAGACCGTGTCCTTTGAGGAGCACATTAAATACGAGCACAACATGTGGAACTACTTGTACTTCATAGTGCTGGTGCGAGTGAAGAACAAGACAGACTACACGGGGCCTGAGAGTTACGTGGCGCAGATGATAAAGGTACGTGTCCTCTTCCACCTCTGCAACCTCCCTGAGCCCAGGAAACACTTGGGGAAAAAAAAGGGCTTGCCAAAGGAAAAGAGTTTTGAGCAGGAGCTTTTGGAAAGGAGTAACGTCGGGGTGCCTCAGTTCTTTCTTAGCTGGTTATTTCCACTTTGCAACCTCAGCCAGCAGCACGTTGATGTTTTGTACTGTGTGCTTAAGGACTGAACCAAGCAGCAGAGAGTGGCACCTCAAGGTGATTCCAAGGCAAGAAGGAAAGGAAATTCAGAAAAGAAAAACTTCTGTGCTTGAGCCCAGAAGGCTCTAAGGAAAAAAAAAACCACCACAAACTCGAACAGGATCAGTTGTAGAAAATTTGCAGACGCAGACAAGATGAGCTTTTGAGAATTTCTTTGATCCCTAAGCACAGGCAGGGTTCCTGATAAATCCCACCAGGGCTCCTCACCCCACTCCAATTCCCATTCTCCATGGTTGCTTTTCCAGAACAAGAACCTCGACTGGTTCCCCCGGATGCGAGCCATGTCGCTGGTCAGCAACGAAGGGGAAGGGGAACAGAACGAGATCCGAAACCTTCAAGACAAGCTCAACACCACGATGAAGCTGGTGTCCCACCTCACCTCCCAGCTGAATGAGCTGAAGGAACAGGTACCTAAATGCTTTTAAAAATACAAACACCTGACTGTAGCAACCCCCTGGCCCTACCAAAATAGACACTGATTGCAAGGAGCGTGAAGCAGGGCCAGCTCAAGCCTTCAGATACAAAGCACAGGGCTCCTGCAGCGCTTTCTGGGGGAGTCGGGGACACTCAGGATGTGTGTTTTTTTGGTATTTAACTCCCTCATCAGCTAGAGCTCAACTCACAGAGTTTTCTGGCAGCCCCTGGAGGAACGTGTTAGTGAATAGTATAAAGGTCTGGTTTCCTCCCTCACTTGTGTCCTTGCAGATGACAGAACAACGGAAGCGCAGACAAAGGATGGGTTTCGTGGACGTCCAGAATACCATGAACCATTAAGGCACGGGAGAAGCGTCGGCTTCACCCACCGAGGGACCACACCTACGTATCAGCTAACGAGGCTGCTTCTTCCTGGGTTCCATGCATGGACGTCACTGTCAGAGAGCGCCAGACCATGCAGGAGGGCTTCACAGCCAACCTTTTCCTTAGAGCGCTTGTAAGCAATTCGGGAACCAGGGACTGGCCGGGATTCCTCACGATACCTGGACCTACACGTTACTCTAATGCCCTTGTAGGAAGATAAATCATACAGGACTTTCATTCCTCGTTGCAATAACTCTTTAGTTTGCAAATATGGAGGGTTGTATCTTTATCTCCATGCGCTACATTCTGCTGGCCTCCGCCTCAGGTGTGGTGTAACTAGCTGTAGGGCTGCAATATTTAACTTATTCCGAGAGCGGCACTAGCACCCGTGGATCTTTGCAAGCCAGCCGTCGTACTTGCTGTCCCTGCTCCACGCTGATCCCTCTCCATTTAAAGAATTCTGTTCGTCACTGCGGGGCAGTAAAGAGGAGCTAAACTCAAGGAGATGGGTTTATTAATTAACTCACCAGATGAGGATGAGTATCCAAGCTTCTACTAGTGTGAACTAGTCTTTTCCCTTCTGCGGACCAAGGATAATTCTGTGGGCAGTAGTAGTAGGAGACTGCAGGTTTACAGGAGTTCACTGTGAAGGGCGTGTCCTGTGTTTTAGTTTCATCTCTGGTGTAATGTTTTACTTTTTTTTTTGTTTGTTTTGTTATTGTTACTTAAGAACTGAAGTGTAAATTGCCTTAACTAAATTAAATACAAAAAAATCATAATAAAAACTTAAATATGGTAAGGAAAAAAAAAAAGCTCCCTTCCTGTGTACTCTGGTATGAAATGAGACTGTTATAAATAGAAATCCAAACCAATCCAAGGCCCTGAAGCCAAACCAGGGTTGTATTCCCCAAGGTGCTCCACAAGCCAGTGCTCTCAGCTCCAGATGTTAGATGTTAAAAAGTAGCACGATGCTCCAGCCAGAAGATGAAGAATGCTGCCAGGAAGAAGTACCTTGAACCCTTGTTTTCTAAAGCTTTGGCTTAGCTCCTGCTGCAAAGTTTCAAACTCTTTCACTGCTTGCCAGGAAAACTGTTCAAATACATAAAAAGGAGCAGCTGCTGGTGCTGCCGGGAGCTGAGCAGAGTCCTGGCACAGCCGTGTTCTAGACACTCATCCTTCCCAAGCCAAGCAGCGCCGCACTCATCCCAGCTACAGTCCTGTGCCTCTGCCTCCCAAGAGCACACACTGATGCAAGTACTAAAGCTTTAAAAAGCCATAAACCAGCCCAATAGCAATGAACGAATCACACCTGAAGTTTGTTTATGGCCCTGTCATTAAAACCTGCCTTTATCTCCCAGACGTGCAGTAACCCTGACAGAACTTTCCCTTCACGGTGAGGGACGGCAGCACCTCAGTTAAACTCTTCTACTTCTCCTCGGTCACCCTCAGTTCCCTCCTGTAAAATAAAGGTGATGTGACTATTGAAGTCACCCTCCCTCAAGCTCAGCGCTAACACAAGCGTCGCTGTGCTTTCACATCATCACTATTGTTATCTTCACAAGCAAATTTAAAGCAAACATGGTTGCTCCTGCTTGTTCCATTTCTTGTAATACAAAGGAGCAGGTCTAACACCACAAAGTTCTTTCCCCTACACTACACTGTTCCAGTCGAGTTTCTGCACAGATGTGTTAAGCTATGTCCTAGATTTTCAGGACAAAAGGAGGGGGGCACAAAATACAAAAGGTGTAAGGTGTAGGTCTGAACAAAAATGCTGCAGCTAAGAGGAATAAATGGTTTTATTCATCATGGCAACACACAGTGCTTTAGGAATATATACAGTGGAGAATCTGGGAGGTAGCCTATCACTTCGAGTCATCTTCAGGTTTCTTGGCATAAAACCTTTCCCGCAGTTTTCTCCATGTCCCTTTTTTCATGTCTTCCATCTGTTTCAGGATGTCTGCAAAAGGAGAAGAGAGAGAGAGATAGGAAAAGAGGAAGGAAAGCAGAAAAGCAAAGGAATGAAAGCCCTCATAAAAGCTTTGCCTTACATATATTTCCCTTTTTTTGACTTTTCATCTTAATGAATTTCTATTTCAGGGCCTGAGGCAAGTTTTGTTTTCCCTTCCAATCAATTGTGCAGGGAGTCCCTTATCACTAACAACTAATATTCAGTTTCCACGCACTGCAATCAAAGTTAGGAACTGGAGCAGAACAAAACTGCACCAGCTGCCTACACCGCACTTAATAAATGATCTGGCCGAGAGTATTTCTGCATCGTAGTACCCTGTTTCTAATACAAAAGTCCAATACAGAAGAAGAAATACTGAAGGGAATTTGAAGCAGCTGAGCTACATTTAGGAATGATGTAGCACACCTGCATTTCCTCCACCGAGCTCCTGCTATCTGACCTCAAAAAGCCCTTGTAATCCTTTTGCTGTTCCTGCCCAGTGCAAAACACAACTGACTTTTCACCAATAGGTTACTGAAGATCTCCTCAATTATTCCTAAACTTAATCCTCATTAAACATCCTAATATACTTGCATGGCAGTCCTTCAGTTACAAACGTTTATAACAGACACGATGTGGTGAACACTACAAAGACCTCGTGTTCTTTGTTTCCTGCACTGACTTACTCTCAAATCAAGCACAGTATTAGTACCTGTTGCTAATATCATCTTGCAATCTTCTACTGTCACTCCAGTGAAGTTTGTGTCTTTCAGCCGTGGATACTTCACAAGGTGGTGAGAGAAGGAGAGAGAGAAAAAGATGTTACTTGCAGTGCATTAAAAGGGCCAAAAATGTCCCTGCTCGGTCCCCATGTGTTGCCTGATCTAGTTGAGAGGCGCCCCTGCCCACGACAGGGAGGTTGGATTAAATGATCTCTAAGGTCCCTTCCAGCCTGGGCCAGTCTAGGATTCTATACGGCAGAGTCCAGGCTCATTTTCAGCCAAGCTCTAGGAATTCATCCATACCAGGAACATTGTTCATACACGTCACAGAGGCCAAGATCTCTGCAGCTTTCCTGGAGTCACCAAAAGGCACCAGGATCTGCTGCAGCCCCCTGGCCACTCACTCATTCCCAGAAACCCCGCTGGGATGAGGCAGCCGAGAGCAGTCAGTGGGGACTGAGGGATGATGGCTAATGCCAAAGCTCACCTTGTTTTTGTAGTAGTTGGTGTGGATCCTGACTAAGCTCTCGTACATTTGGTCACAGTTCTCGGGGTCAGCAATCTGGAAAAGCATCACAGGAGTCTTATTTTAGATCTCCACAGCAAAAACTACCTCATCCCAAGGCTTGTGAGGACAGGCAAGGAGCAGCTTTAGGCGACTTCTCAGTGCAGCGTAAGATGCTGCTGACCCTCAGAATTGTCTTTCACCTCCACTTCTTACCAGCTTGGCCTACAAGAATAACAAGGCATGTGATTTCCAGAATGGACCATAAAATCTGCTCAAAACCAGATCAACTGTGAATACACAGCTAAGGACAGCAGTGCTGGACAGTTTCCTTCTCACGTTTACTGGCCAGTGCTGTGAAATCTGCGGGACTTCTTGCTCAAAGAGCAGTTCTGCCGCCTGTTCTATTCTAAAGCATCAAATAGGGTAACGTACTAAGGTGGCAGTTAGAAAGTCCTGGTGTGGGCTAAAAATAGTTTATAATTGATTAGAGAAAAGCAGCACGAAAGACACTGAACAGCTTGTGAAGGGTAAATGGATTTCTATTTTGGTCTAGTAAGTTGGAAAGATCTTGCTAATACCTAAACCTCTGCTGGGTGCTTCGGACAGGTGTACCCACCTCGCAGAACCAGCGTGGATGGCACATCGTTTTGGCTTTCTATTTTACAATGGGGGCCAACTCGATCAGAACTCTGCCCTGCCGCTCGATGACATCAAACATAAATGATTAAAGCAGATACGTGAATAAGAATAGTATCAAGAGAAACGCGTCAGGATAAAATGACACAGCTCGTCTGTCCCTGGGACGTTGGCACAGGCTCGGCGCAAGGCGGGTTACACCTCACCACGATCTAGGAAAACTAAGGGAGGGTTCTCCTTAATCAGGAGGTAACGGCTGCCGCAGGAGAGAGGATAGAGGGGCACACAGACTGTCGAGAGTAAGCACCGTCACACCGCAGGTGATCTTCAGCCTCGCAGTCACACTGCAAGTGACCCTGCTAATGTTTTAGTAATGACAGCAGAAACAGCTCTCAAGTGGGCAGCAGAAGCAGTTCCCTCTCCCCACAAAATCAGCAAACCATGAGAGTAAAACAGACATTAGACTGATAAAGTATCCTTTACGGTTCCAATTCTTTTCTCAGACATTTCTCCTGCTGTCTGCCAGTACATTTCTCTTTGCTGTATTGAGCTTTTATACATACAAATTGACATCAGCACTGCAAGGCATCAATTTAGATTTTCAAGATGAGTGGCAGCTTTGGGATCTTGCAGCCAACTGGTGCCACACATTCAGCTGTCCTGAGCATATGAAAATGTAATAAGCACTTTCTGAAATGCCTGCTGCAGACTATTCCGGTGACCAATATAGATTTAGGTGCCTGTAATGGCCCCTTGAAGTAGAAAACGCTTATATGAGAGAATGTTTTTATGCTAAGGAAGGGCACATTTACATCCCACACCAACACCTCCGAGTCTGTAAAGGTCTGCAGCCCAAGTCAAGCATTAAGTTTCCTAATTTAATTCAGCACCAAAGCCTAAAGTCTGATACAAGCGTAGCCAGAATCCAATTTTATAACCGCTGCATCCCGGGTGTCGGGCAATGCTGCATTTCACTACGTACCCCACACAACGCTCCGTCACCCCACTGAGCAAAACCCACTCGTTAGCTCATTCCAGCATGGCACTGGGGACAAATTCTCAGTGTTTTGTACCCCGTTCCCCTCACTACGGGAAGGGGACTCTCCAAAGCACATCCAGGAGCGGGGACAAACCGCGGCCCGGCCCAGGGCTGACCCAGGCCAGTGTTTCAAGGGCGAGGGGAGCGACGGGAGCTTGTTTCACAGCTGAGCCTCGCAGGCACAACCCTGCCAGAGCCCCACAACCCACCCAGAGCCCCACAACCAACCCTGCCAGAGCCCCACAACCCTCCCGGAGTCCCACAACCCTCTCGGAGCCC